TCTGAATTACTCTGAGGATTCTAAAATGTCTAGAGCATGAAATATATTCAGAAGGAAACCACCATATTCGTATCATTCAACCACCATACAGATATAAAGTAACAGAGTTAGCATTTTAATCCAGGTATTCAGACTCATTTTGTCAGGCTCTTTTGGTTGAAAGTAGTAGAAAAATGACACAAATGGACTTAAGCCAAAAAAGAACATGCACTGACTCACTGAAATGTTCAGACAGAATCTTTTGGCATCAGGCATGACTTGATCCAGGCAGGTGAAGAATTCCAAGTTTCTTTCCTCTGTGTTAGCTTTGGTTTTCTAAGATAATTTCTCCATGTGGGAGGAAATCATTGACTAGACGATCAGAGATTCTATCCTATCATTTCAGCAAACCCCAGTGGAAAGAGAGCCTCTTCCAAAGCTCTTCCAAAAGCAGTCCCAAATTGAGCCTGATTGTCTCTGTTTGCATTGATTTCCATGCTTGGCCAATCATGGTGGCCAGGGTGTGCAAGTTTCTCAGGGCAAGGCCTTAATCATGTGCCCTCTCCTGAACCAGGGGTTTAATTAGCTGCATGGCTGCTAACCAAAAGGTCCGCAGTTCGAATTCACCAGCTGCTCCTTGGAAACCCTATAGGGTTTCCTATAGGGTCACCATGAGTCTAACTGACTCAACGGCAAGAAGCTTAGGCTTGGACCCAAATCAAACGGACTAAAGATAGGCAGGATCAAGTTTTCTAAGGAAAATAAAAATGCAGACAAAAATCAAACACATGTCCAACCCAGAACTCTGATTTCTTAAATCCTTCTTCAAAATCAAAAGGTCTTAAGTTAGAACCCAGTACACAAAATCCTACACCCTTCTCCATAATTGAATGGTTTGTTAGAGAAGATTCATCATTCCATGTACGATTTGGATAAAAAAGTAGCAAATTCTACAGGAATGTTCTTTTTAAAGGAACAAACTCATCTGCTTCTGCCAGACTCCTGTCTCTTCTGCATTTCTTGTCTTCTGCTATTATTCTGGTATGATTTTGTCTTTACAGAGCACTAAGTTCCTAAAATATGCTCCATAGTTCATGGGTTTTTCACAGGGGTTCTACTCATTCTTTGGTCTTTTATGCCATTGATGTTCAATTCCACAGACTTTGATTTCTGTGTGTGTCTAGTGGCTATACAGAAATAGCATTCTTCAGAAGTATTTAAGAGTTACTCACATTTGGTATGGAGCCCCGGTGCTGCAGTGGTTAAGAGCTCCGCTGCTAACCAAAAGGTCGGCAGTTGGAATCCACCAGCTCCTTGGAAACCCTATGGGGTAGTTCTATTCTATCCCATAGGGTTGCTATGAGTCAGAATTGACTCGTCAGCAACAGGTTTGGTTCGGATTTTTTTTACGTTTGGTATTATAACTAAAGTTACACATGATTAGTTTATTGAGGATTCTAATTAATTTGGTTTCATAAAAACAGACCAGAAAAGGATAATTTTAAGAAAGTGGTCTTTTACAAGAGTATTTAGGAAGAACCCATAGGAGAATGGAGAAGTGAGACACAGAGAGGAAGGAAGTCAAGCAGAGTGAAGACATGAAGCAAAATTCTACAAGTCTGCAAATTCTACAGATTTGCCTCAGTCCTGTAGGGAGATGTGGTCACATCTAGAATCATCCTAATCAGGGACAGGGGAATTGGAGCATTTGCATCCCAGAGTCAATCATTGGTTAAGAAGTGCTCCTGGGGGCATGTAAACCCCAGGTGCTTGCTGCTCTCTGTGAAGGTAAAGTTGGCTACTGCAGCTAGTGAGCAGTTCACCAACGAAGAAGTGCGGGTTGTTGTTGTTAGTTACCACTGAGTCTATTTCAACTCATGGCCACTCCATGCGTTACCCGTTGCCATCGAGTCAGTTTCAACTCATAGCAACCCTAATAGGGCAGGGTAGAACCACAGGATTTCCAAAGCTGTAAATCTTTACGGAAAGAGACATCTTTACCCCCAGGAGCGGCTGGCTGCTGGGTTCGAACTGCTGACCTTAGCATTAGCAGCCAAGCACTTTAACCACTGCACTACCAGTGCTTCACCGCATGTGTACCAACCAAACCAAACCCTTTGCCATCAAGTTGATGCCAACTCATAGCCACCCTACAGGACAGAGTAGACCTTCCCTATAGGGTTCCAAGGAGCGGCTGGTGGATTCGAACTGCTGAGCTTTTGGTTAGCAGCCAGAGCTCTTAACCGCTGTGCCACCACGGCTTGTACTGGCTGTTAAAAGGACACTGAGATCTTGGATGCATAAGGGATCAGAGAGGATATGGGCGGAGCATTGGCTTGATCTGCTACATTTCTCTTACTGAAAAAAACATACCAATATAGGATACTCTTTTCATTCATCAAAGGGAAAAATACTTGTCCAGTAAGACTTCATTGTTATCGCAAAGTGCTTTTTCTTTCTGGAAGTGGACATAGTTAGGATTTGGTGGGATTTGTTGTTTTTACCCCACTTAATTGGGCCACTTACTGGAGATCCACTTTTGTGAAAACACAAATACTAAGTCTTAGAGCAGCTGTGGGGCTTATATTGCTTTGTGATTAAGCACATAGCTCCTGAGGTAAAGAAACCTGGATATAAATCTCGGCTATGCCACTTTTAGCTATGTGAAAAGTAAATGAAATTATATATATACATTATACACACATACAGTACCTGGTACATAGTTTGTGGTTAATAAATGGTAGGCATTTGTTGTGCTGTTGTTTCAGTTATTAGTAATGCAAAAAGTATTCAATCATCTGGTTCAGAGACTTAGCTATGTCAAAAGAACAATTAACCATCAAAATAAAGAATTATGACATAACTATGGGAAAAATGGAAATCCTGGTGGCCTAGTGGTTAAGAGCTACAGCTGCTAACCAGTTTGAATCCACCAGGTGCTCCTTGAAAACCCTATGAGGCAGTTCTACTCTGTCCTATAGGGTCACTATGAATTGGCATCAACTCGATGGCAACGGGGTTTTGGGTTTAATTGGGAAAATAGTCAATCTCTACTGACTCAGAAAGGTGAATTCAGACGAGTATCAGAACTTGTATTTATTTTCTTCTTTTCAAATAAACTTTCTTAGAAATTTTGTATTAAATGTAATACATGCTAATTGTAAGAAAAATTGGGAAATAGAGATAAGCAGAGAGAATACAATGAAAATCATTCACATCTCAACTACTCATGGGTAATCACTATTAATATGTTCACGTATTACATTTCCTGACATTTTTATCCAAAACATCATTGTTTAAAAATTGAACTACACTGCATCTACTGTAAAATCTACCAGAATTTGTGAATATCTTTCTATGTGAATAAATTGTCTTTTAGAATTTCATTTTTAATTGTTGTTGATTATCCATCAAATGAATGTCTAAGAAAACCTAGTTATCTAAGGTTAGTTATTGCCAGGAATATGCCATTTGCTAAAATGGCTAGCTAAGTTTGTGGGAATTGGCAAGTTTTTTAAAGGGACAAAACTAAATTTATGAAAATAAGCATGGTGTTTTGTGTTTAACAAAATTCAAGTTATGACTATAGCTATATGCTAATTCTGAGAAAAACGGATGAATCAAATATTAATTTTGAGATCTGTTTTGGAAAAAATATGCATAAGCACATGATATGACTTTCTGCATTTTACCTTTATTATGCACGGGAGGATCAGAATTTTTTTTTTGCCAAAAGGAAGGAAGAAAGAAATTTCCTAGTGCTTCATCAGGGAATTTTTGTTTTGTCTTGTTTTTTGCCTCATTTGAAGTCTCTACTGAATCATCACTAGCAATTTAGTTCAGTAGTTGTTTACTGCTTAAATTCTACAGAATCTCATTTGGCAACTGCTCTGTATGTCACTGGACAGTTCTCCCATATTACTGTTGTTGACTTGAAGAAATTTTGCATCTATTTCAAGATTTACAATTTGGCATTGCAAAGTGATTGGCTATTATTGTTATTAATTTGAAATGTATTTAAAACAGAAATATTTAAAACATCAAACAATTTATAAAGGAATGAAGAATGACTTAGTAGGAAAGGAGATAAGCTAATGGAAGTAAAACTAGGGATTAATTTTATTAATGATCAGTTTATTAGTGAGTATTTTCCTATTATATCTTTGTTTATTCCCTGCAGTTCTTTATAGTGAGGACATTTGTACTATGAATTTCTAAATTCATTCCTTATTGTTAGACATTTAGATTCATACAGTACAAAATGTATTTTTGGTATTTTAAAAGATACTGTGGATATCCTTATTTCTTTATATGAAATTCCTATAAAGAAACTCTCTTTATAAATCCTTCCTACGAGGAGACAGGGTACACTGTAAATCTATATTTTATTTTAATATATTTTAGGTGAGATATAAATAAGTACATTCTTTTGAGGATCATAGAATTCTTAGTTTCAATATATATGGGTCCCTCTTGATAATCTTGCTCACTCATCACATATGTCTGCAGTGACCTGTTAGCACCAATATGGTTACAAAAGATTCTCTATGTTTGCCTTCAAATCTATAATGCATATATGTAGAGCCTGCTTAGTCTTAGATGGCATGTCCTCTTTCCTGAACTTTCCTGATCACCATATTTAAAAAGATATAATCACGTTACTCTCTCTGCACCGCTTCTTTTCTTTCAGTTATCACAATTTGTAATTAGGTTTGTTTTTTTAATTTGTTGATTTTATGGTTTCTCCACTAGTCTGTAAGCTCCATGAGGGCAGGAAATGTGTCTATTTTATTCAAAAACATATACCTTGAACATAGCACCCTGACTTGCACATGGCAAGCACTTAATAAAGTGTTTAATCAATGACTGGATGAGTGAGTGATGAATGATTGCATAATTTGAAAACTAGTCATAATAATAGTTTTTTTTCCCTTTAGAGTTACTTTTGAGGATATTCTTATTTTATCCTGCTTTCAAAAAGACTAAGCCATCTTCTGTTCTAATGAGGTATAACTGTTTAGTCCAGTCCCTGATATTAGTTGGAGGAGGATGGATGGAAGCCTGTTGCCAGGGAAAGCCAAGTACAGCAAATCCAAAGCTATCCTTGAAATCCCGAACTTTCAACAGGAAGACGAAGGCTTCTATGAGTGCACTGCAGGCAACCTTCGAGGAAGAAACATTGCAAAGGGTCAACTCATTTTCTATGGTGAGCTAACAGAATTTCAAAAAAGTATATAAAATATTTGGCAATATCTTTCATAGTAAATAGTGAAAACCATTAGCATGTTGTGGAAATGTGTCATGGGAGAAATAGGAAAGACACATTTTCAGGTCAGGATGCTTAATATAATGATTAGCAGGTGGGAATGACCATCTTGAAAATATGGTTTTAATTTCAGCAGTCTATGCATGCTATTGTTTATTATAATTGCCTTGAAAATATCAGCAGTGTCATGTTAAAGCCATAAAAGTTTATAACACAAGGTTGTGTAGAATCCAATATATTTGCCATAAAACATTCAGCAGCAGCCTATGGCAATCTTAATGATAATTCTGAGTAGAATTTACAAACCAAGGAGAAAATGATATGAAAAGGTAATACTGAAATGGTGGTGTGCAGTATTTTTTTCTATTTCTAAAGTTTTTCTACCCATATGTATATAATAGAAAAATGGCATCACTTTATTATAAATATATGTTTGCCGCAGTTATCAGAATATCTCATGAACTCAAGAGAGATGAAGAAAGCATTTGTTACCTAAATGTCTTTATGTCTTCTTTCATCCAGGCTAAAATGCACACTTGCTTGAAATTTTCTTGTAAAATAAACCATCAGATATACCTTAGAATTATAAAAATGTTTGGTGCTTTTAAAAAAATCCTTAACTTCTTGGTTGAATTAAATATATCTGCACTGTTGGTGTTGTTATGTGCTGTCAAGTTGATTCTGACTCATAGTGACCCTATAGGACAGAGTAGATAGAACTGCCCCAGGTGGTTTCCAAGGAGCGGCTGGTGGATTTGAACGCTGACTTTTTGGTTAGCAGCTGAGCTTGTAACCACTACACCACTAGGGCTCCATATCTGCACTAGAGAACTTTTTACAACAGTATTTGTACACGGGCAAAAATACTTTTTTATGTGACATGTTTATAATCAATGATAAAATGATTGGAGAAAAACATTTAGATAACAAGAAAAGTGTGAGGTGTTATAATTATGTCATGGGAAAGGTGAGTCAGAGTCCTGTGGGAAGAACATATTTTGCCTTGCTTATATTATTTTCCATTTCCCTTAGAATTTCCAATTTTAACCTGGAATGAAAACTAGTATTTTGTATATAGAATATGATTTCCCACTGATTATTCCCCTACAGTTTTAGCAATGTTAACCAGGAAAAAAAAATTATTTTCAATAGCTCCTCTTTTTTTTTTAAAGATTTTTGGAATCTAGCATTCTTTGTAAGGAAAATAATAGGGACATAACTGGAAGTTTTTAGTGGCACCAAGATAATAAATACTTTGGCAAGTTTTTAAAAAAGATTTCTCATTTTTGTGTTCAGTAGAGAGAGCTATACCCAAGAGATTAACCCAACATGGAGGTATCTATAAACTTGAAATCAATAATAAAGCACTTTCCCCTGCAATGATACAGCTACTGTCTGTTTACATGTAAGACTTTACATATATTAATTCATGGAATTCTTACAATAATCTTAAAAGGTAGGAATATTTTTCAGTGCAATTATAGCACAATCTCACAGATGATGATTGTCAGATCCAAAATATGAACCTTGAAAAGTTGTCTGGAAACAGTCTTTCCACTCTACCGTAGCTCTTCAACATGGCACTTGAAGTTCATTCATGTACATTTCACCGCAACTAAATTTAGTCACTTAGCAGGTTCAATCTGTCCTTGTTGGGGAGGATTGGATAACCCGTCAATAAACGATTATTATGCTTCTTGGTCACATATTAAATCACTTGTTGAAGTACTCCAGAAAAAGCAGATAATTAACTCAGTTAACTTAGAAGTAAGTAATACCAGAACAATTTGAGAAATTAATCTCTCAGCTTCACTTTATTGCTGTGTTTAAGTTAAAATTTTAAACCCCCAGAAATATTAGATATTCTTCTATATATTGTGTTTTCATGATTCCCAAAAGAAATCTCTGAAGTACTATTGTTGTTAGTTGCTGTCAAATGGGCATATATAACAGAACAAAATATACTATTATTGTTACAGAAAATGGAACACGTTCAGAGGAGCTAAGTGACTTTCCTCAATCAGTTAATCAACAAGGAAAAAAAGCAAAAACCGAAGCCCATATGTTTAGATCTCAAATTCCTAAGCTGTTTCTTCCATGTATTTCCCATTTTGCGAAAGATTTAAAAGTTTACTCTTCAGAATCCTAAGTATCCAAACAGTGTGCACATGTTTGTTGTTGTTAGGTGCCATGGAGTCAGTTCCAACTCATAGCGGGGACCCTCTGCACATCAGAACAAAACACTGCCAGGTCCTGCGCCATCCTCACAATTGTTGTTAAGCTTGAGCCTATTGTGGCAGCTACGGTGTCAGTCCATCTCACTGAGGGTCTTCCTCTTTTTCGCTGACCCTCTACTTTACCAAGCATGACGTCCTTCTACAGGGACTGTTCCCTCCTGATAACATGTCCAAAATATGTGAGACATAGTCTTGCCATCCTTGCTTCTAAGGAGCATTCTGGCTGTACTTCTTCCAACACAGATTTGTTAGTGTGCACATTAAATTAATGCATATGTTTGAAAGTTACAGTCATTGCATTAAGCAGAAAATCAGGTGTATCTTAAACCTACACTTATATCTGTAAATAAGGAAATCATTAATAATACTCAAAACATGATTCAATTTTATTAACACACCCGTATAGTCTAAGTATTGCCCTGATTTGCCCCTCAAGGCTGTGGTAAACATGTTCTGTGACTGGAAGTTGCCCTGATCTTCACTGGAGATAATCGGAATGACAGCTTCCCTGAAGGACCTTCTATCTTAGTGGAGACAGACGTTACACTGGAAAAATCCTGGAAGTCAAGCAGACTTGGGTTCTGTATTGTGTACAATTTCAAATTATCTTGGCTTCACTTTTTATTCTAACCACTGCTATAGTGTCAAGTTTGGCACTATGCTTTGCACGTATATCCTGATGGAGTCTTATCGCAGGTGCCACACTAAGTACATCTTGTTTCCTGCTACAGGCGTTCTTTGCCCCCTTCAGCACTTAAGCAGCACACCTCAGAGCTACTGAATCAGTGTCAGTCATTTAAAAAGATCCCAGCCCTTAAGCATGCACAACCCGGTAGGGCTAATAGTTAACTCCTGCACTACCTTGAATGGCTAGTAGTGAATAAATGCTTCCCCTTTTATTCCCGGAATACACAGTTCATAAAGACTCCTTAGATGTTCACAGAGAATGGAGTACCAGTGGCCCATGCTGGTGGCCAACACAACAATGTTCTTTTCATTAGCTCTCTTTCCTTCCCTGTCGACTACCTCTTTTCCTGACACCTTCCCGTTGGGATAGCATTCTCAAAAAAAATCATGTACACAAGCCTCTTCTTTCAAGGTTCAAATTTTGGCTTTTCTATTTTGCGACTATGCTGTCTCGAGCAGCTTATTTAACATTTCTGAAAATGTCTGCGACAAAGAACCGTAGGGAGAATTAAGCACAGTTAAACATTAAAAAATCTAGCCTATAATAGCCTGAAATCCCAAAAGATGACTCATCCACTCCTACATTGAGGGAAAGACCTATATAAAGAATAATGAGCATATTCAGGCAATTTCCTATTATATTAATAGAAGAATATAATTTTAAAACATTTAATTTATACCCCAACTATTTCCACAATGATAGTAAGGATAATACTATCTTACACCTAACTAGCATTTTTGCATCATGCCATTTGTTCTGTTTTGCCTTAGTACTGTGTAGAACTTTCTCTGGTTAGAAAATAAGGTTTTGGAAACCTGATACCCAAGATTATAGTTATGTACTAAAACTGCATACAACTATAAAAGTTATGAATCCCTGTCAAGAGTTTTAGCTAGGAAAAGTATTTAATTGGGTCATTGCCCTACCAAAAGGTGATGAAGTTCATATTTAATGTTTGCTTCAAGCTATTACCCTGTAATCGTGTCCAACATAGGTACACTTACTTGCAGTTAGTTTAGACCAAATAGAATCAATGAATTTTTGCCCACAGAAGGTTCAGATTTAGAACTATTTACTAATATTTAGCATGAAATTATTCTCTGGCCCTGTTCTGCATTTTGACCTTTTTCCACAGTTTCCAAGTTGTTATACAAGTGCAGCATTTACTGATATTGGCCCACTGATATTTGCAACAGGATCTCTGTAGTCCCAAATTGGAGCTCCTAAATTTCCCTTCCCTCCAGTCACAGGTGTGCAGGACAACTGGCCCCAGTTAGCCTTGCCCTTCTGATTTCTATGTTCCTTGGGTTAATAGCATAACGTCTTAGATTACTGCCTAGCCAAATGGTTGCTCTTGCTTCTTTTGAAACAGCCCCTCCAGAATGGGAACAAAAAATCCAAAATACATATTTGTCTATATATGACAGCTTGTTTTGGGAGTGCAAAGCTAGTGGAAAGCCAAGCCCTTGCTACACATGGTTAAAGAATGGTGAGCGCCTCAACTCAGAGGTAAGCAATTATGTTAATATTAAAAATTCACCTACTCTGCTAGGTGAATTTCGTTACTAACAGTAATGCTAATGTTTACTGAATGTTTAGTTCGTGCCAGGAAACATAATATAGTCTATATACACTGATTTATTTAATTTTTAAACAAAATCACACAGTAGTTATTAATATTATTCCCAATTTTCAAAGTAGAAAACTAAGAGTAGAGAGGACAAATAATTTGAGAAAGTTGGTGATACATCCAGTTAATTGGTGGTAGATCCACACTCAGATATCATCATCATCATGATCATTATCATTCAAAAACCCAAAACCAAACCTGTTGCTGTCAAGTCGATTCCTCATAGCAATCATCATCATAAACCAAAAAAAAACAAACCCGTCACCATTGAGTTGATTCCAACTCATAGCGACCCTATAGGACAGAGTAGAACTGTTCCATAGGGTTTCCAAGGAGCGGCTGGTGGATTTGAACTGCTGACCTTTTGGTTAGCAGCCATAGCTTGCCATAGCTCTTAACCACTGCACCACTAGGGCTCCAATCATCATCATAGCTAACACTTATTGAACTCTAATATGAGCCAGGAGTTATGTTAAATATTTTCCCATGGATTACCTTATTCTATCCTCACGACAACCTTATGAGAGAGATAGTATTATTCTTCCTTTATATAGATGAAGAAAATGAGCCAAGGTCACACAGCAGCCAATAAATGTTAGAACTAGCATTCTAAACTTGATCTGTCTGACTCCAGGACCCAAGATCTCAATCACACCCCATTAATCTCTTGCTTGTATGAAACTTATGACTGTCTCTAAACCCAAAGGAAAGTGAAGAACTAAGGAAGTTATTCATACGTTTCAATGTAAAGCATGATTTTTCCTACAATTTCCAGAAAACAAGATAGTTGTTTTTCCCAATTAAATGATCCAGCTAATTGTGTAAATTTTCCATTTTGCTTTGTGCAGGTAGGCACAGCCAGAGATACAAAGAACATCTGTTGTTTGGAGGCTGACTATAATGCTGCTCTTTGTTTCAGCATTAAGGGAATTTTCCTCCTGCCTGCCTTTTGCATATAACATTCTCTGTTTCCTCCAGCCTCCTTTTATTAACTTTAGAGGATGGTACTAAGGTAGCTTGAAATATTTAGTTTTAAGTTATATTTACACTATTAAGCTATTTCATTATGGGCACTCAAAATTGTATTCCTATGCCCCAAATGGGACTCTATAAGAGATTCTGTCTGTTTAAGCATACTTTATAGTAGGCTGCAGAAAGGAAGGATTCAGCTCCTCCAACTTGTGACTCAAATAGATAATTATCAAAACATCAAATTTCAAGTCCTTTTGAGACCTTATGTTGGAAATCCAAGGAAATATTCTAATCATGAAATCCATGTCTAATATTATTCAGTCAGCCATGTTTTCTGGAATAATTGGAATGGTGGAATGTTCAAAATAATTTTACATACCATATAATGGACAGTTAAGATGCATACTATGCAGAGAATGCCAATTTTCAAAGAAATCAAATACCATAAAATTCACTAACTGCTAAAATTATACTAAGCATATTCTTATTTTTAAAACTCCAAAAGCTGCTCAGGTTCTTGCAGTATATTAGGCTTATCCTCATAAGCATAAATTCTTATGCACTGAAGTATCACATGTCATAGATATGCACAAATTTTTTAAATAAGGTATTCTTGTTAAGATGTCATGGTATTGCTCTTGCCTCAAAGATTACTCTTTTGTCCTAGGTTAATATACTAGCATCTTTACGTGCCTTTTCATTTTTTTAGGAGAGAATTCGAATAGAAAATGGGACACTAATCATAACAATGCTGAATATATCAGATTCTGGTGTCTACCAATGTGCTGCAGAAAACAAGTATCAGATCATTTACGCAAATGCAGAATTGAAAGTATTAGGTAAGTCATTAATTTATAACCAGATAATTCAAAATGGCATTTTAGCAAGCTATGATTATATATGATCTGAACTCAGTTTTTTTTTTTTTTTAAATTGGATATTGTTTTCTCTTGAAATAATGGGAACTCTCCAAATGAGCTTATTACAAAATGTTAGTTGCTGTCAAGTTAGCTCTCACTCATGGAGACCTTGTGTTTAACAGAATGAAATAGTGTCCATTCCTGTTGGTATGTTTGAGTCCATTATTGTGGCTATTTGTGAATCCATCTCATTGAGGGTTTCCATTGTTTTCTCTGACCCTCTACTTTACCAAACATGATGCTTTTTTTCTAGCGATTGGTCTTTCCTGATGACGTGTCCAAAGTAAGTGAGCCAAAGTCTTGCCATCCTTGCTTCTACGAAGAATTCTGGTTATATTTCTTTTGAGACTGATTTGCAAGGTGTTAATACTCTCTCTTATCCTGCTTTGGCAATTATTAGTGTTTGAGGAAGAGCCCACCATTTGGTGCTTCCAAACCAGAAGAGGCTTCCCAAGAGCTCATTCTAGCATAAGATTTTGAATACAGATCAAAAGATATCCAATAGGAATTCTTTCAGATGCAAATAAAAACACATTAAAAAAAAAATCTCAATTTATAATGACATAAAAAATAAGGATTTATTTTATCTTTTAACACGAGGTTCAGGAGTGGATGGCTGCCAACTATGGTACTGTCGCTTAACTGTGTTATTCTTTGAAATTTTTACTCATTCTTGTATCCTAATGGTCCCAAGATGTCTGCTGTAGATAGAGAAATCAAATTCAAACTCAAGGCAGAAGAGAGGGAGGAGACAGAACTGACCACATCTGTCCCTCATTAGAAAAGAAAAAAAAAGAATTCCTGAGTCCCCACAGAAAACTTCTTTTATGTCTCATTGACAAGAACTCTGTCACATGATCACCTAGCCCTCAAGGGAGGCTGGGAAAATAAGTCCCTATAGTGGAACGTGAAAAGAGAGAGGCAATCCAGAAATGATATTTTGGGACAGCCAATCCGTGGTGTCTGCTACAATAAATGACTCATAGATAATATCTTTCAACTTAAGGCTTTCTTGGGTAGGAAGCAAAAATGAGATGAAAGTGAAGAAGGATCAAGCAACAAGAGACAAAGTTTTATGAGTTTATGTGTGATGAACACTCATTCATTTGTTCATTCTTTCACCCACTATTATTTATTGAACTATGTACTAAGCTCTAAAAATATAATTATGAAGCGTAAAATAGTTCTTATCTTCATAGAGCTTATAGTTTCACTGAAAAAAAAAAGACAAAATATAAAATATGGTAATATTATAATCAAGAGTTTAGTAGGTGTTATTAGAGCACACAGAAAGTTGAACATAACCTAAACTGGGAACATTACTTTTAAGCTGAAATCAGAAGAATGAGCATACACTGTTCAGGTGATGGGCAGAGAAAGAATATCTGAAAAATTTAGGAGCAAGAGATCATGGTACATCTGAAAGAAGTCCAGTGTAACTGGACCTTAGACTGAGAGTAGGAATTTGGGATTGGACAGAGATAAAGTGTGAAAAACAATGGATGTACCCCAGGCAATCTGATAATTTCACAAAATCTCAAAACTTGGTATTTGTTTAACATGTATTTAGTGCAGACAAAGCTAAGTCTAAAAAAAAGGATTTTTTAAAATAATATTTTATTGTGTTTTTGGTAAAAGATTTTTTTTTTTTTAATTTCTACTCCCAGCTTGTCTGCTTCTGCAGAAGGCAGATCATTTACATTTTGCTAGTTAAAAGCATTACATGAAGAAATCTGACTTAGTGACACAGCATGTCTAATTTATTCCTGTGGTACTTCATTACCCCTGATATATATTCATATTTAGGATCATTACCATCACTGGAATAAAGTGAAAGATTTCCCTAACCAGGGTCAAATTTCTCTCTTTTTTTTTCTTTTATGGAATCATCTTCACTCCCTTTATTGTAAATGCTATTAAGGGTGTAACTTTTTCTAATTTGCTCCTCATACCCCGTTTTACATTTTTTGTATTACAATGACTACAAACAACAACATAAAAATAACATTACATTTATTGAGCACATACTTTGTGCCAGACAATATGCTAGTGCTTTACAGTGTCATCTCATTTAATCCCCACACTAAACTTCTGGATAATGTCTATTGTCATCTTCATCTTACAAATGGAATCAGAGGCTCCAAAATGTTAAGCTGGTAACTGGCCCCAAAACTCCTTGAGGGAAGTAGCTTGAAAAATAATTCTGGATACAACAACTACTGTATTTTTATACAAATAATGTACACACTCTATGTCTGTTTGCCAGAACGCGTCCTCCACCCTGAGATATTTTCATAAGCACACTATGCTAATTTTTTACGGCAACATGTAAAAAAAAAAAAAGGCATAGCAGTACTTACGAAAATACCTCCTGGGGGGAGGGTGCAGTTGGCAAATAAATGTAGAAGGTGCACATTATCTGCGTAAAAATACGGTAGATTCTACCTAGTATAAAAATTTACCTCTTGGGTCACTAAGTGTTAATTACGTAAATAATTTGATGATTTTGTTTTTAATTTTGTTTTTAGCTTCAGCTCCCAATTTCTCCAAAAGTCCTGTTAAAAAACTTTCAGTTGTTCAAGTTGGTGGGGATATTGCTATCGAATGCAAGCCTATTGCCTTTCCCACGGCAGCGATCTCCTGGAAAAAAGGAACGGAGAGCTTGAGACAAAGTAAAAGGTAACTCACTCTTCATATTATTTAAAACAATTTGAAATATTTCATAAGACAATATTTTCCATAATTTTAGAGATTACCAGTTCTTCCAAAATTGTCTCTCTTATGATAAACTGTCAACTGCAAGTCCAGAAATATCAAAATGTTTTCAAATGATAATAAAAATAAAATGCTCTTATAAAGCTAAGACCTACAAGTGTAATTTGGTTGCAATATTATCAGTGCAGGCACTTTTAATATATATACCTATAAAAATCCTTTAAGACCTTCTTCTACATTCACCTTGAAGGCTTTTTTCCTGCCTGGCCTGCTAAGAAATCAGTGAGAAGAACCTTACACAAAGGAAAGAGACGTTCACATGCACACACCTGGTGCTGTGGTTTTTAAATAGTCACACAGGTGTTCACCCCATGACAAAAAGAATTCACCACATGAAAAAAGTGTAGAGAGGTTCCTGTAGTGAAAGAAAAGTGGTTTTCTTCCATAATGAAAGTGGTTGAGAAATCTTGCATCAGTACTGGGGTGTTTTCGAGTAGAATTTTGGCAGAACAAAAAGACGTTTTTCCCTACTTAGAATACATTTCATTCCATTGTGCTGTAGAACATTGTATTAGTAAGAGATGACTAGACCACAGGGCAGCTATACGTTAATGAACCGTGTGTTACTACATGATCAGATGCACATTGATGTCCTATGAATGAGCCATTGTTCTAACAATATGAAAATGGTCCCTTAACTTCAATGTGCACCTTTTAAGCATCACATGTGTTATGAGCTCATATGCATACTGGGCCAGGCAGGTGACATAAATGAATGAGGCAGGCCAGGTGAATGAAAAGAGTACTAAAGTATGATGAAAAGTGGTGATCCACCGGCCCTGAACGAAGTCCTGTGAAGGACTGGAATGTGAGCTCCACACCTAAAGGGACAGTCACACCTCAGACTCTAGGCAAATGTTGTTTTGTGGGAAGATATGCCCCTTCTCGTCAATCTTCCAGTATTTATGGAAATGCTAGAAATCTGAATTTTGGCAATGAATTTCTCAAGCCAGAAAGTGTCCACAGGCTGGATGCAGGGACATTGTTTTGTCATCTCTAATCCCACGATGGCACCTATCGCCAAAAAAAAAGAGAAAAAAAATGATAACAACAACAGGGATCTGTGTTGATAGTGTAGAGTGCTAGCATGGTTGCATCTGCTGCCTTGCAGACCAACTCCACGTACATGATGAGATATACAAGAGAGAGGCTCTTCTATGGCATTTTTCTTTTCTTATCCTCCCCCCTGCCCAAAACTGTCTCTATAACCCTGGACTGAAGATTTCCCATAGTAGGGATCCTGTCAAGTCTATCTTTGTATGCCTTATCCCTTGGCACTGAACCAAATTCCAGAAATATCTGTGGTATGAATGAATATGTCAAAAAGGATGAATATGTAAGGTGTTACCAGCTTTGAAGAAAGACTTTTTCTTCAGAAAATGCCTCAAGGCATAAGAACAGATGCTCCAAAGCTCAGCTGAAAAGGAAGGTGAAATGAAGCCTGTTGCTCTGGAACAGGTGTAGCCCCTTTCTCTGTGCAGCCTGTCTAGGAGATTTCTGCAAGCACTCCCAACAGGTTTGGATGTTGGTTCTTTTAAAATGTTTCCTCTTTCATTCTTAAAATCGAATCAAGGTTTGAATACACTGCTATTGGACAAGAAAACTCAAGAGATCCCAAGGCGTCAAATACAACACTGTACTAAGGGTCTGGATAAATTGATTATCTCTGTTTCATTTAATAAAATGACTCCCAAAATTCTAACTCTAAAGGACAGGAATGACTACCATTTGCCTTCCATATATTTTAAGGTCCAAACAGAGGGTATGTGGGGAGGAGAGAGAAAAGGAAGTCAATGTGGGTAGAGGTAAGAAAATGAAGGGGAAATATATTTTGAAAAGTATAAGGGAACCTGCTTTTTAAAACAACTTTTGTTCAGGTCAGTATGGTGCCTTAGATACATGCATTCTAATGACCCCCTGACAACAAAGGCTCAAGAAACTAAGTAAACAGACACAAAAAATGACCTTGGATCCTAGAACATCAAATGGAGAGTTGAAGAAACAGACTGAGCACTGACTGAAAGGAGAGGCAGAACGAGGCCAGCAGGAAAGCAGAGATTTGCAGATGAACCATGCCCTGCCTGCAGGATAAAGCAGAGTGCCCATTTTGGGACAGCATTGAACTACAACCCAGAATTAGGAACCCAGGAAAGCAACCGCCAGAGAGCACAGCTGGTGGCAGAGATTCTGTGCAAAACAACCTCAAAAAGAAACAACAAGGTGGGCAGGATGTGGCCAGGGATGGGTCACCCTTGGGGTGGGGGAGAGTGCAGAAGTGGTATAGCTTTGAAATCAGGGAACCACAGGGAAATGCCTTTGAAGAAAAGTGAGACAAACTGAGTCATTGGAGACTTAGAGAAGGAGAAAGTGTAGACAGGGAGTGCTCATTTGCGGGGGAGTAATGGGGAGGTGCGGGGGTGAGTGAGAGTTCCAACCCCTCTGGTGAGTGCAAGAAGAGAGGGAGCAAGGAATTAGTGTAGGGTCTGCTTGTTGGTGGAGGCACCTAAAAATTTATACAGGAGACACACAGTGAGAAGTCAACCTACAGAGTGACAACTGGAGTCCCCTCCCCCAGAAATGGCCCTGTGTAGGCAGTCATCCCCTCCTGTCCCTGTAGATTCCCCTTTGCTCCTCTCCCTTCCCAGATACACCTTCCATCTGTATTAGCGTGTGCCCTGAGGTGCAGGCAGATTAAGCCAAGGCCAACAAGACTGGCTCTACCCAACACCCCCTTCTAGAGGCACAAACAGCTCTACTGCATGCACAAGCCTGGTCATGCCCATCAACCCTCTCTGAGGCATAGGAGGCCAGTGACAAAGGGCTCAAGTCTGGCCATGCCCATCACCCTTCCCCGAGGCACAGGTAGCTTGCACTTGTGTGTTCAAGTCTGGCCACGTCCATCACCCCTCCCTGAGGTGCAGAAGGAGCATGTGGATATGTGCAAGCTTGATCACACCCACTACTCTTCCCCAAGATGCAGAAGGTCCACACTGATACACAAGCCCAGCCATGCACACTACCCCTCACTGAAGAGTAGACCTTCTGTGCAAGCCTGAGTAAGCTCCACTTTGCCCCTCACCCCATCCTGGACATACATGCCTCTGCCTCTTCCCAATTCTACCCGAAGCCCCCTCCCAGCTGAACAGGACTCTGTGTCCAGTCCAGTCAACACTGTCTCCTGCCCAAGTGGGACTCTGCCCTGTCCCCCTGTCCTGACAACTCTACCCCTTGGCTGAGGGGGTGCTGACCCCCACTGCCATGGTTGATTGAGATTCTGTGCCCTTACCAGCTGCCTCCCCCCTGGCTGAGTGGGACTCCGTCACCCGCCCATGATGATCCCACCCTGCTCATGTGGGCCTCTGCACCCTATCCTGTCTGCCCCTCCCTGTTCCCCATCCTGTGCTTCAGGGGTCATACTAAGTACTCGTGGTAATGCAGAGGGAATGTATCATTCCTCAAGAGCTATGAAAGGACCTTAACCACCCAATACCTGATACCACACATCAGGGAATGGATTTGTTCACACACCACCAAGCAATTCTCTAAGACAAATCATATGCACCTAACGACATAGGTACACAGTGTGTGTGCAACCCACCATACCCGCCAGTGAGAAGAAAGCACACCTAGCCAACCAGCAGACCCAAACCCATAGATAGACCAGATAACAACCAGCTTAATGGTCATACACAGATCAATCCTACAAAACAACATCAATTAAAACATTGCAAATAAAACTAAACAGTATGAAAAGAAAACAAAGAAGCTATGCTCCAGATATACCAAAACAAAAGCAAAACAATACCAAAAAGGCAAATAAACATAAAATCAATGAGAAATATATCAACAAATAAAACAGAACTTAATGTATCAAAGACAGCAGTCAATTACAAACCACATGAAGAAATAAGATAAGATGGCTCAGGCAAATAAGCAAAATAAATGAATGGAAATATTTTCTGAGGTAGAACTGATAATAGATCTGCCTGGCAAGGAATTCAAAAGACTAATATTTAGGTT